TGGAACCTTCCCAGACAAACTACAAAAGGAAAGCTCCTCCGTCCGTCACAAAATCATTCTGACTGATGAAAACGCGGTGATTAACGAGCGACAATATCCTTACCCGCGCAAACACATGATCGCATGGCGCAAATTGTTGGATCAACACATGGCAGCGGGACGGATTCGTCGTTCGTCAAGCCAATACGCCTCCCCTAGTATGATCATCCCAAAGAAAGACCCAACTGCTCTTCCTAGGTGGGTGTGCGACTACAGACGTTTGAATAGTGTCACTGTTAAAGACCGCTCACCGCTTCCTAATGTTGACGAACTTATTCGCGTGGTGGCGGCTGGTAAAGTCTTTTCCATACTAGATCAAACGAATGCCTTCTTCCAAACGCGGATGCGCGAAGAGGACATCCCTCTGACTGCTGTTAAGACACCGTGGGGACTAGTAGAGTGGGTTGTAATGCCCATGGGTCTCACCAACGCTCCGGCCACTCATCAAGCCCGATTGGAAGAGGCGCTGGGGGACCTGATCAATGACATCTGCGTTGTGTATCTGGATGACATCGTTGTCATCTCTAATTCATTTGCGGAGCATGAGATTCACGTCCGGCGGGTTTTGGAACGACTGCGGGCAGCCAACTTGTACTGCAGTCCGAAGAAGACTCAATTGTTCAGGGAAGAAATTAAATTCTTGGGTCATTATATCTCCTCTAAGGGAATCACGGCAGACGAGGAGAAGGTGAATCAAGTGAAAAATTGGCCGTCCCCCAAGTCACCGAAGGCGGTGAAGCGATTCCTGGGGACGGTTCAGTGGATGAAGAAATTTATATGGGGCCTTCAGAAGTATGTGGGTACGTTGACTCCGCTGACCAGTACGAAGAAGGACCCTAAAGACTTCAAATGGGGACCTGCTGAAGAGGCGGCCTTCCTCAACATCAAGCGCATCATGACGTCTCTCCCGTGCCTCAAGAGCATCGATTACGAGAGTTCCGACCCGCTTTGGCTCTTCACGGACGCCAGCGGCTCGGGCCTGGGAGCGGCTCTCTTCCAAGGAAAGGAGTGGAAAACGGCTTCCCCGATCGCGTACGATTCGCATCTGATGACCGCGGCGGAAAAGAATTATCCGGTGCATGAACAGGAACTACTCGCGGTGGTACATGCTCTCCAAAAATGGAAGATGCTCTTACTGGGCATGAAGGTGAATGTTATGTCAGACCACCATTCGCTGACATATCTGATGAAACAACGCAATCTGAGCAGGCGTCAAGCGAGGTGGCTAGAGCTACTAGCGGACTTCGATCTACACTTCGAGTACGTCCGGGGTGAGGATAACTCGGTGGCCGATGCCTTGTCGCGGAGGGACTCCGACGATGGGGAGCGCGCCGTCGACGTGTCCGATGTTGCCAGCATAGCAGCGCTGACAGAGCTACACTCCGAATTGTCGGAGACCTTCAAACACACCATCTCCGAAGGGTATGTTGTGGACAATTTTTGCAAGTCGCTGAGGAAAGTCTTGCCGCTTCGAGAGAATTGCAAGGAGGTAGATGGCCTCATGTGGATTGATGGGCGACTAGTGATCCCAGACTTTGGCGACTTGCGGCGGAAGCTTATTAGCGAGGCTCATCAACGCCTTGGGCACCTCGGCTACCTGAAGACGATCCAAGAGTTGCGTAGGGACTTCTTCTGGCCTTTTATGGCCCGAGACGTAAAAGTCGCGGTGGAGTCTTGCGAAAAGTGTCAACGAACGAAGGACTCGACTACTCGCCCCACGGGGAAGATGTTGACGCCCCCCATGCCTCGGGCTCCTCTTGAAGACATTGCGGTAGACTTCGTGGGCCCATTACCCAAATCGCAACACTACGACATGATCCTTACTTGTACATGCCGATTGTCGGGATTCACCCGCATCATTCCGGTCTCGCAGAAGGACACCGCTGAGAAAACAGCCAGCCGTGTTTTCACCGGGTGGGTTTCGACATTTGGAGCGCCGAAGTCTATATTGTCAGATCGCGACAAGACCTGGACGTCGAAGTTCTGGAAAGCGTTGATGGAGAAGCTCGGGATCAACTTTCACATGACCTCCGCCTTCCATCCGCAAGCGGATGGCCGCAGCGAACGGACCAATAAGACCGTCGGCCAGATCCTGCGCTCATTCACGGCGAAGCGACAGAGCAAGTGGCTCGAGTCATTGCCGGCAGTGGAGTTCGCCATCAATTCGGCAATGAATGTGGCTACGGGGTTCTCGCCATCCGACCTCATTTTCGGACGGCGAACCAGAATTTTTCCTTCGACAGCCGCGTCGCCTGATTCTCCGCCCTCACTGGATAAATGGCTCCGGCAGCGTGAAGTTGCGTGGGCTGAAGCGACGGACGCACTGTGGACCAGCCGGGTGCGTCAAGCCCTCCATCACAACCGGCGATGCCGCAGTCAGGACCCTCTGCATCCGGGCAGTTTTGTTCTGCTAGACTCGGCGGACTGGCGGAGTAAACATCAAGGCGGCACGGACAAGTTGAAAGAACGGTTCGAAGGCCCCTACAAGGTGCTGGCGGTTTTCAACAACGGACAGAGCGTGCAGGTGGAACTTCCGAGTGGCGACCGCCGGCATTCCACCTTTCACATCTCGAAATTGAAACCGTTCAAAACGGAGAGCACTGAGGAGTGGGAGTTGGGACCGAAAGTAAGTTCCTCCCAAAGTGCACCTCCGAGCGGTTGATACCACTGTTTTGTAAGCATTACCTGGCCACGCCGTGAGCACCTCTCGTTTTGGTTCTCTTACAGGTGGCGGGCGCTTGTTTGGACCGCCGAGGCTCTCATGGTTCTGGATTCCCCTTCCTATTTCCCCTTCTGTCACTCGTCCCCTCATTTCCTCTCTCTTTCACCCCCTCCTTTTCTCCTTTTCCCTTCCGTTTTCCTTTTTGCTTTTGTTTTTTTTTTTCCTTCTCTTCTTTCTTTTGCACACTTGATTTCATAGGGGGGGAGAATGTGAAACCCATTCCTTCAGGTTTCACTTAAACAGTCACAAACATCTCAGCTTACATAATCTCAACTTTCAACTTAATTACTCCCGCATCCCCGCTCCCCTTCTAGCTCAGTAGAGAACATTTCTGACATCTTCACTCTACTGAGCTAGGTAAGCACTTCATCTCAATTGTTCTTCTTTTCTTCTTTCTCCTTTTCTTGTTTCCTCACTTTCCCTTCTCAGTTCATTCTTGTGAGTAGAGAACATTTCTGACATCTTCACTCTACTGAGCTAGCTCGAAAATCAAAATCATCCGTTGGTTCTAGAAGTTCTCTCCTAAGCACATCGCTTAGTCTAGTCCCAGGTTCCTTTCCATAAAGATCAGTGAAGAGCCCTTTCGGACTCTTACAGAGTCTGTGGGGTTTGAGCATGAGATGTGACTCGTACCAAGGAAGCGTTGCTCAACATCGTTGATGTAATGAGCCTGAGAGAGGAAGAGAAATTGATTTTTCACATTGCGAGAGATTTCCATTGAGAGAAAATGATGAAGTTCTTCACCAGCGCCAATGGTGAAGAGCTTCCCCAGTTGAAAAATGATGTCTGATACAAAACTCGGTTCTCCAACAACAGACACGTCATCTACATGGGTGGAGATGGCTTCCACGAGATGATTGTTGCGAAGCTGTAAATATAGGGTGGGATCGTATTTTGAGTGTGAGAGACCAAGACTGACCAGCGCTTGATGGATCTCTTTGTTCCATTGTTGGGGCAACTGTTTGAGGCCATACAACAAGCGTTGAAGTTCGCACACGTAGTCAGAATGAATATGATCTTCAAAACCTGGAGGCTGTTCCATATAGATAGATTCTTCAAGATGCCCGTTGAGGAAGGCGGTTTTGAAGTTGACTTGTCTACCCAACCACTTCTTGATGGCCAGAAGGCTGTAGATTGTGCGCAGTGTTTCTGGCCATAAGGTGGGGGAGAAAACCTTGGTGTAGTCAAGACCCTTCTTTTGAGAGTAGCCCATGGCGACTAGTCGTGCCTTGAGCTTTTGAATCGAGTGGTTGGGTCGGTGTTTTATTTTGAACACCCACATTGATTTTATGATTTGGCGCTTCTGCGGTCGAGGTACAAGCCGCCATGTTTCCATGTCAAGGAGAGAAGCAAACTCTTCATTGGCCGCTTTGAGCCACTTGTCTTTGTTGTGAGACTTGAGGAGCTAATGTCAGGTCTTGGGAACATCTGGGTCGGCATCCTGAAGGGCTGCTGATTTTGACCATTGACCGAAACAATCCGGAGGACGACAAACACGTGTGGAGCGTCTTGCAGGTGGCTGAGGAGACTTAGCACGGGGAGGAGAAGGCGTGACATTGCAATCAGGTGGGGAAGAAACTGTCGGTGGCTCCTCAGGGTTCACAGGTGCAGGTCTATTGGAAGGAGAGGGGGAAGGGAGAGGAGCAGAGGATAGGAAGGGGGAGGGTGGAGGGTCTGGACAGACAGGTGCCTGCAAAGACGGGGGGGGGGCAGGGGNTTGAGGGTGGTTTCTTGGGTGTAGCAGTGGAGTTATTTTTGTGTTATACACTGGTTACAGCATGGCAATCTGTACACATTGCCTCCCTTTTTGGGGTGATGCTTGTAACACTACATAAAATCTTCTCAGTAATCCCCTGCCAAAACATTGAACTATGTCAATATGAATGTAATTTTATGATTTCAAGCCCTAATTCTGAATACAATAAATATGTATTGGGACTTGATGGGATAACAAAAAGATGTACTTGTATTTGAAAAAAAAAAAAACTTGCATAACTCTAAAATACAAAGAAAAACAACTAGTCCAAGAATTCTGGGAAACACAATAAATCCATTCTTTCTGTGGTCAGATGTGTGCGGATTCCTTCATGTGTTGACTGTATGTTGTTGCATCTTGCCTTTTCTTTGTGACATTTTGCTGGTCATCTGCCGTAATGATGATGCAATTGGTGGCTGCGGGATCGCACTCTCTGACTTGTTTTTCAGCTCTATTTTATTGCATGCAGTGCCTTCCAATATAGACAACGTGGCCGAGCGGTTAAGGCGATTGACTAGAATATTCTGCATTCTCAGACACTACTCTTCTTCTTTGAACGAAGGAGTGTGTTCTACCATCAATTGGGATATTCCCGCGTAGGTTCAAATCCTGCCGTTGTCGTTTGTTTTTGATTTGACGGGCCAGTAACAGGTATCAATATACCCATAATTTGCTTTATCCTGCTTGATATAGTTAAGCAGATGAGCTGCTTGCCATGTTGAAATTTTTCAGAAACTGGTTGGCACCGGAAGACCTTTTTTTTTATTCAAGTACGCAAGTGTGGCTCGTCTCGGAGAGAAGTGGTCCTGGAATGACATATAATAGGCCTCAACTGTTGTGAATATAACCAATTGAGCTTGGTTGTGTGATGTTTGCAGTGTGTGTGTGAAATGGCTGGTCAAGATGTGTCTCGCTTGTGAGGAGTGGTGGACCATTCATGATCTTTTAATACTCTGGCCAGAGTTCTTTCTCGTATCTCTCTCGAGGTTGATGAGCAACTTCTCATCGCTTCCTGACGAGTCCGTCTTCCTCAGTTGGTGCTGACATCTGCCTTGATAAATTCCAACGGCGACGGCTCCTCACCTTGAGTCAACCTGGATGAGTTGAATATCCTGGAATCGCTGAGACTTCCATCACCAGTATAGATACCAGTTCTTTCTTTCTCCTCAGTTGTAAGGGGCTCAATGCAAGTGGCTGAGACCCCACAAGATGTGCTCCTCATGTGCTTTGGTGAGGAACCAAGAACATATAACACTGCATGAACGTGGCCTTAACTCCGGAGGTTATGGAGCCCGGATGGGAAGGCGATAACTTGCCCTGCCTGTCTGCGGTATTCTTCTTTTCCTTTTCCTTCAACTTCTTTTTCACGGAAGGCTGGCACATCATCAGCGTGATCGGTCAACCGGGTGGCGACTGGTTTGAGGAGGACTAGGTTTGATCGCGCGGTACACGTCATATAAGCCAACAAGAGCCATGGGACACTTTATAATGTATGAGCTTAATTAAGTCCGAGTATGTATCGGATTTGCCGTTGACTGACTGGCTTACAAATTTTTGGCCGAAAGCATCGTTATTACATATTGATCATGGGCACTTTGAGAAAACGGTCAAGCCATGAAGAGCTTGAGCCATGACGCGGAAAGTCACCCTGCAATTTCCTCTGGGCAGGACACCTCAAGGGAAAGATGACATAAGACACCCTTGCTGAAAGCTGTGATTTTTGAGGGACGCTGCGAAGGGGAAAATAAGGTTTGAGTTTCTGGGATGATGATGGTTCTGAACCATGCCTGCATTGGGTTTTCGTGTACAACTCTCCAACAGGGATCCGCTCATCCATTTTTTTATCTCTTTTTTTGTTTTTGTTCTTGATGACTGGGCTTCTGAAAAAGATCCAGATCGGTGCAAGCTTATTTTGAGTGTGTGACTCTCTGAGCTTGGCTCTGTGATGTTCTAGTGCTAATACACAACTCTTCCCATTCCAACCTTATATAAAATCTACATCCACTGCTCTTGGGTCTTGACTTCTCTGGCGTGGGCGTACTGGTTAGCAGCTTTCGGGCAGCTTTCTGCTCGTAGGGATGATGGATACTAATCCCCATCCCTCGTCCTGGACTGGACCAATTTCATAGTTGATCTTCCTGTCTGTCACTTGGTGCTCGTCTTTTTGAGGCTTGTGTTGACCGAGTTGGAATCGGCTTGGGCGATATCATTTGGATGTTCGATCGTCTCTTGCAGGTTTTTTTTTGGTTGTCGCGAGACCTTTTTTTTAGCTGTCTATCCAACCTTGCCTTTGGTACATAGACTTGCTTCCCATTGGGCCTTGTCCTTCATTCTCTTCCGGCTGGCATCCTCTCGAATCTCCACCTGAAATCCCTTGAGTCGATCGTAAAACCCAACAACCCAATCTGCAATCTCGAGCTTGACTTCTTCCTCCCCTTCCCTTTCGGCCGTCCCTCTTAGCTGTGTCTGTCCCAACCGGGTGATTACATAAACTATATCAGTCTCTTGACCGTCTCATCATTACTTCCCCATCATCTCAGCTTCCCCCCTCTTGCCAACCGACCGTCCTGTCGGTTACCAAGTGCCCGCCTCTCACCTCGTCACGAGACCTCTCCCCCACCTCATTCGCAAACCCAAGATAAACTCGCCTTGACAAAACTTGTTTCCTCTATTATAAAGACCCTTGCGGCCCAGTTAGTTGACTCCAAACCATCCCAACCACTATCCTCAACCAATCCATCAAAACCATGTCGTCGACCACTCAAAATCTTGCACCGATCATGCCCTTCATCGAGCCTATCGAGCCTATCGAGCTTCCCTCAGTGTTCGGCCTGCAAACCTCAACAAACAACCAAACCCCTGCTGGCACAGCTGACTCCTTCACAAACCTCAACCAGTCCCAACAGGTTTGCATTCTCACGCTTTCTCTACACCTCATGTTTGCTGTAGCTTACCCCTCATCTGCTAGAATCCTACCACTTGGAAAGGCAAGGCCAACACTCCTCCGCAGGTGAATGATTAATTCGAGTTCAATCAAAATCACATACTGCATATTTTTCTTCTATCTAACTCGCCTGTCCTTCCTTTCCACAAAACCAAGAATCACGAGACTCAAGCTACACATCGTCGAACCGCCTCTGCGGAAGAAGCTGTCATTGAAAAGTGGGTCCACTTTCGCACGTGCCTATGCCAGCTGTAATATTGGGTGGTGTCTATACATGCTTGTGCTGACTTTGCCTTATGCTTCATTTAGGACACGCATGGAACTAGAGCGGAAGATTACCGAGCTGAACCAGCTCAAAAATCAAGTTGCGCTCATACATCTCCTCCTTTTCACAATGCAGTCACTTAACGCAAGAGGTGTAGGTCCTAATGTTGAATTATCTCATTTCCAGCTTGCTCAAACCGAACAGCGTGAACGAGAGCTGGCTTCACGCGTTGCCACGTGATTTACTCTTGCCGGTGACTCCGCCATCAATAACAAAGTGAATCGAACCAAATAATTTTTCAAATCAAGATGACACCAACCTGAAAGCTTCAAATATCACCTACCTGTCGACGCGCTGTATCGCATTCGGGTTCGCATTGGCTCGAAGTTTTTGCTGAACTGCTCTGATGGCTATCCATTTCTAATACAACTTTTGGCCGGCGGAGTATCTATTTCCTAAACTTTTCCCATCGTCTGCTGAACCTTCCGATTCTCAAGTCTGCTGCCTTGTTGGCCTTTGGGGTTTTCTCCCTCTTCCGGATCCTTTAAAATCAACATCTCCTGTATTTGTCGCTGGTCTGCTTGTTGATACTTTTTCGCTTTCCCACTACGCTCCGTTTTGATTCTTTCTTTGTTTTGAAATCTCACAAAAAATCAACCACATTTAAAACACTGCAAAAAAAACTTGACCAACTGCATGCAGTTGACATGCAGCATGCTCCAGCCAAGCTTCCATCCAAACTCTACATGTTGCCCTATGTAGAATTTTTGGTACAGTGACTGTGCAGACTGCACAGTGACTGTGCATCAAAGCTTGGTTGAATCAATTTTGGAGCATGGTTGGAGTAA